ATGGTTTTCTTGATTTCTCATTAGCTTTGCATGATTTTTCTTGGTGTTCATTGGCTTGTTTTCTTTTGAATCTGCCTTGTGGGATGTGGGATTTTGGTGGTTTAAATTCTATATTTTAAATTCTGTTAATGCATTTTAACTATTGTAAGAAAATAAAATCTATTTTTATAATGTAGAACCACGTCTCATCCAGTGTGTTGCGAACCTGTGTGCTTTGCTGTGAGTGAACAAGGAGTAGTGTCGGTTTCCTGGGTGTGAACCTTAAACCCAGGTGGCGTTGTCGGTCAACACTTATTTCCCCTTAGTCCATTATTTAGGCAATCTATTAGTAGCGCCCCCGCACGCTCACTCGCCACACATGGCTCAGCGAACACACCGCGGACGTCGCAGTGCAGCTGCCCGGACTCCATGTTTTCACACCGGAGCGCAGCACGGAGCTCTCGGGGGAAACCAAAGGAAGTGGAATCTGCTTCTACATCAGTGAAGGTTGGTGTGGAGATGTCAGTGCTGTCATGTAGCCCTCACCTTGAGCCTCCAGCCACCAACTGTGAACTGTTCTATTCACTGCGGGAGTTCTCTTTGTTTTTATCCCGGTCAGTGCCTCAGGCCTGTGTAACCGAGGCGTTACAACAGCTTGCCGACCACATAACAGAAGTTAGAAGTTAGAAACCTAATCCACGAGTTCCCAAATAACAGGAGGCATTTAAATTGTCCCACCAGGGGGCGCACACACTGGACCACTGCTGCACTGCTGTGAAAGATGCCTGTTGCTCTGTCCAGCCTGAAGCTTTAGGACACTCTGACCACTGTCTGCTTCATCTCATCCTGACCTACAGGCAGAAATTAAAAACTTCTAAACCTGTGGTCAGGACCGTCGAGGTGGACATGGACAGAGGTGTCAAAGCTGAACTTACAGGCTTGGTTGGACTGCTCTGATTCAGTGTCGTTGAAGCTGCAGCAACTGACCTCAATGAACTTACAGACATGTGACATCCTAGACCAGATGTGTGTGTAGAACAAGACCATCTACACATGCACCAACAGTAAACTTGGTTCATTCCTAACCTCAGGAAGCTGTCACAGACCAAGGAGGAGGCCGACAGGAGGAGGAACCAGGCCCCTCTAATCCTAGTCCCACACAGGTGGATCATCTGGTTGACAGAACTGCAGCTTTCCTGCGTTCATCTATTGATGCTGGTGGCCCTCTGAAAAAGAAGCCTATAAACTATAATAAAGTAGCTCCGTGGTATAGTCAACAGCTGCACATCTTAAAATTAGGAAGGCTGAAAAGACAGTGGCGCTCTTGATACTCAGAAGGATTTCATCTAGCCTGGACAGGTACCGCCCTGCCACACCTGCTCTCCTCGGCCCCGCCAGCGCTGGTGGATCTCGGGAATCTGAGGATGCTCTCCCAGACCCGCTCTCCCTCTGACCCACAGCCTGCCGTGGCCTCGGCCAAGTTCGGCCTGGTAAACGCCAGATCGCTGGTGAACAAATCTTTAATCCTGAGGGGTTGCCTTAGCTCCCACCATATGGATTTCCTCTGCGTGACAGAGACGGGGGCATCTCCCGGGGAGTGCAGCGCTTTTGTGGACCTTTTACCGGCTGGATCTTCTTATTTTAGCTCCCCACAGGAGTCTGGTGGTGGAGGAGGAACAGGTGGGTCGCTCTGGCCCGGTGCTGTGCGCCGTCATCTACCGACCTCCGAAATACAACAAGGACTTTTGACTGATTTCTGACTTTCTGGCTGGAATCATGCCTCATTTTGATCGAGTCCTTGTTGTTGGGGATTTCAATGTTCATGTGTTGTCCCGATAAGCCTCCACTGTTTAGAGATCACTGACTCTTGTAAGCTTGTGCAGAGCGTGTCTGGAGCTACACATGACCAGGAAATACACTGGACCTCCTCCTCTCATATGGTTTGTCTGTGTTTAACGTAGAGATCTGCGCCTCAGGTAAGTCCAGCGCTCTTCCATGGCGCTGCAGGATTTTTAACTCTTCCACTGCCAGTCAGTTTGCTGCTGCTTTTAGCCAGCTCTGTTCCCTCTACCTCCTCTTCCACTGACATGGAGGGGCTGAGCTCCTAGTTTCACTTCTCCTGCAGCAACATATTGGACCCTGTGGCTCCATTAAAGACAGTGAAGCCTCGAGCTAAACGTGAACCCTGGTTTAATGAGAGAACCCAGCAGCTAGGAGGGAATGCAGGAAGGCTGACCACAGGTGGAAGAAGGACAAACTGCAGGTCTCACTCCAAATCCTAAAGAACTGCTGGCAACTCTATCAGGACACTTTTAAAGAGGCAAAGAAAGAACATCTGTCTAACATTATTGTCTCTATTCAGCATCACCTCCGAGTGCTGTTTAAAGTAACAGACTCTGTCCTTAATGCTCCACAGTCTGCCTCCTTGGAGGCTACATCTGAGATGTGCAACACCTTTAAGACACTATTTAGTGTCAAGGTTGCAGCCATAAGGCTGTCATTAATCCTCCTTCTTCTGACCCTCCAGCCTCTGTCCCCTGCTTCAGCTGTTCCTGAAAAGTTTGAGCCTGTGTCTTTGTCAGTCTTAGATGTGGTGGTCGGACAGATTAGGGCATCAGGCCCTCCTCCAGATGCCATCCCGCCTCATCTTTTTAAAGAGATTTACGCCACTATAGCCCAGACATTCCTCACCATGACTAACAGCAGCCTGGCTGCTGGTGCTGATCCTGCCACTTTTAAACATGCGGTTGTTCAACCCCTGCTTAAAAAACCCGACCTTGACAGCACCTTATTGGCGAACTTTAGACTCATCTCCAAGATGCCTTTTATATCAAATATCTTGGAGAAAGTGGTCTCCTTGCAGTTCAAGTTGTTCTTGGACCACTACAACATATCTGAAGTCTTCCAGTCTGGCTTTAAATGGCTGCACAGCACAGCATCAGCATGACTGAGAGTCAGGAATGACGTCCTCTGGATACTGATGCTGGAGATTATGTGGTCCTTGTCCTGCTGGATTTACCTGCTGTATTTGATATAGTGGACCACAGGATCTTATTGTCTAGGCTCCAGAACTGGGTGGGGATCCAAGGCGTAGGTCATACTTGGTAGGAAGAACCATGTGTGTCAGCATAAATGGCTTCGTATCTTCCACGGCTCCAGTGTCCTATGGCGTTCTGCAGGGATCCATTTTAGGGCAGCTCTTGTTTTCTTTTTATCTTCTTCCTTTAAGGTCCATATTTAGAAAGCATGGCATTTCCTTTCATCTGTCTGCTGACGAGAGCTGCAAGGTGGCGTCCCGGTGAGGACAACCGGGATCTTTCCACGTGGAGTTTGGATAAAGTCAGCTTTATCACAGAGGAGCGTTTTCATCCTGACCTTAAAGCAGAGAGGGTGTCTGCCTCCAGAACCCAGACTGGGAGCTGATAGCTAAAGGCTCTGCCTCCCATTCTGGTTCTGGATTGTTGGGTTCTCTGTTTAAATCTGTAAGGTCTGTACCGGACTGTTCAGTGCTGTGAGATGACATGTTGTGAATTGTGCTATACAAATAAAATTTAATTTAATTAAATTAAATTGAATTGAACTGAAATCAAAAATGGAATACGTTAAAGTTAAGGTCAAGTCTTTGTCATCAAGAGGCAGCAAATCCAGACAGTTACTGGCAGCCCGTCAGCTATCGATTCACATTAACTTGTGGAAAAGCTCCCCACTGTGCTCTATTAAAACTCTGAAAACTTTGTCGACCAGTGACCCACAGTTTCCGTTATATAACAGCAGCACTAAACAATGCGAGCAGGCAGATGTTCTGAAGTTGTTGTTGTGAGTTCAAAACTTCTGCGTCATTGCTGAGGATAATGAATCCTGTCCAAACTTTCTGCTGCAGGAGACTGACACTGCCGTCCTCTTTGTAGCTGCTGGAGGAAGTACTGGGGTGCAAACAAGCTTTTCCTACGAGTGCACCGTAAGTTGTAAAGTGGGAGAAAACATACACTTAAAAAGTTATTGCATGATTAATCATGGTCAGGACGGTCATTAGTAGCAGCTGCAGAGACATTAAAGACACAGCTAAACAGTAACATGACAGAGATATAAATGATCACACATGTTCTGAGCAGGGTAACGTACACAGCAGGGTCTGTGTGCATGTGCAGCTACTGACTGACAGATGATGATGACACAGAAGGTACGTAAAGTTGTCTTTGTGTCTCAGAGTCCTGCTGTTCACATTACAGGTAAACAGGATGAAAACTTCACGTCTGGCTCAACTTGTTTATTCACTAAATATTTCTTACATAACAGCCATGGCAAACATCTTGTTGGACCAGAATCCAGAGACCCTGAGCCAACCCTTGACCTGGCCTCAGTCCCAGCAGCTCACTGTGGCTAGCTGGAGGAACGTCAGCACTTCACCGCCAAGTTCAGGGACGTAAACACAGCTGCATTTGGTAGACGGTTTACATAGTTTGCAATCTGAACCAGAATGTGTTTTGAGTGATAAAAGATCTACTGACAGTCACTCAGACTGTAATCACACTCAGCTGTGTGGAAAACCACAAACCAGAGAGCTGCTTTACTTACGGTTTGCATATTTGAGGAACCTCTGGTGGGATTATTTTAAGCATCATTAAGAGTTTTACGATGCAAACATTTCAGCCAGTGCAGTGCAACTGTCCCACATTCATCTAAGTATGTGAGCGATGCTTGAAGCTCAAAGTGCCAGAAAGCAGAGAACAATGTTTGGACACTGGACCGGTCGGTACCATGCTCGGACCTGTCACCGTATAACCACATATACAACTCCTGTCGTATTCTCAAAGCAGTGCCCCAACACTAAAGTGACAGTTATGTCTTTCGATTTTCAATAGTCTTTCAAGTACTTCATTATAAATCCTATTTTTCTGGTCAGGGAAGGTTCTGCAGGAACATACAGTGATTACATTAGTCTGTGTCCAGACAGCTGAGAGTAACTCCCTGGTGTTGATATCAGACTGCAGCTGTGGTCTAGAAATGAGATGATTGAAATATTGATGAGGCATGTGTGTTTTAATTCATTCAGAGCTAATTGTTATGTCAACCAACAACAAAAAATCCTCAGAATCACTGATCAATGACAGATCATTAGAACACCAATCAAGAAACAAACAGAACCAACAGATAAGTCAGGATTAGGTCCTATGGCTTGTTTCTTATGAAACTCTGGATTTGTGTTTTTGATCAGGACTCTGCAGGTCCTCAGCCTGCTAATCAGAGTTCATATGGACAAGGTAATGGGGTAAAAACTCTTTCTGGTCCTCAAATAAAATCTGGAATATGACGTTTAATCACAGGTGAATTGTTTGACTACAAATGTCAGACTGTGGAGCAAAGCGCTCTGTGAGGAAGAACATCATTGAGAGCTCCATTCCGCCCATTTCCTCCACCTCTCCATCCGGCATGTTAGTCACGTTGTAGTGTCTGGTTTGAAAACGGATCTGTAATTCATTTTCTTGTAGTTGGTCAAGTTATACATAAGTATATTGTGCCCTGTGTCCAGTATTCTGTTCAGCAACATGTCGTGCACACCCTCACCACCGCGGGACGTCTTCAGGGAGAAGTTCCACCGACATTACCACCACGAGTAACTATTATGTCATTCAGTGCATTTTGTATGATGTCTAACTACACTAAGCTCATCATACAACTTGAAATTAGAGCATAAAAAATGCATTTCACTAAAGCCTGCTGGTAATATTCTGAGAAACTTGTAAAATATTTAATCATCAATAAGTAGATAGCAGCCTCGTCCATTCAGGGTTTCCTGAATACAGGAAATGATGTACACCTGTGGTGATAATCTAACTTCTTATGTAAAATAAAGTGTCCAGAGCTGTGACTGAGCTCAGGACTCCACCAGAGGATGTTTCAGCTGATCACCTGTCTGAGGTGAACTAAAGCAGTGTGACCTGCTCCTACATCCTGTCTCCATGTTGGGAAGAATTAGTAAGTAATTAATGAACATGCTGCTGTGAGCAGGGGCCAGTCACTGCTAGTGGAGCTATGCTGCCCCCAAGTGGAGGGACCGTGCTGTTACAGCACACCAGCACCCCCCAGGACGAACTTCAGGATGAAAACTGTTCACAGTAACTCCAGTATTAAATGCTAAATGTTTACCTCAACACCACAGATATTTCCAGGGCCCTCAAAGCACACAGAGGTGGCTGCAAATTAGAAATGTAAATCCAGCCTGATGGGAACAGATGTCACATGACCCAGATCACCAGATGACCAAGTGCATCATGTCTGAAACATTGAAGCCCACTTCTATCTCTGGGATAGTTCAGTCACTCCAAAGAAGGTGAGATCAATCTACCACAGCCTCTCCAGCAAAAGATTTTACACCACTACTTGTTCCAGCTTGTTAAATCCATTAGAAACAGAAGAACATTCACTGGCAGCATTTCATTTTGTTTCTGAGTGACTTATCACGTCTGTTGACATTTGGACTCAGACCTGCCGGCTGATCTGGACCTCACCCCCTACAGTACCGTCACAGCTCCAGTCAGCCGTCCAGGCTTCTCCAGGTAAACTCAAGGGGTTGATTCTCCTCTGAAGACCTGCACCACTGTGCTTCCATGTCATTCACATCATTGGTACATCAAACAGAGACTGAGACCAGTGCTGACATTTGATTGATTATTGTTAAAACACAGTCATCACAGTCCGTTTCCTTCCAAAGCAAGCGATGGATGAGTCTTGACCCGTCAGCTGACCACTGATCTGCATCTGAAACTAAAAGAAGCAGAGTTTCAGCCGTGACACCGGTACAGAGGAGACGTGGTCATGCATGGCATCAGAGGTGTCATGTTCCCAGCAGGTCTTCTGAGCAGGCTGTTGCAGAAGCCTGCTGGGATGGTTTTTGTTTTCTGGTCAAGTCCACAGCAGGTCAGGAACAGAGGATCCTGAAAGCCTTGGTATATGACCACACCCAAACAACAGCACAGCCTTTACTTACAGCAGACGGTTGCTGAGACACCATCAGCGCCTCCAGGATCCTGAAACACACAAGTTTATAAAATTACTCCAGAATAACCCACTGATGCCCTTTATCTGTTTGTCTTCATTTCATCCTCCTTGGCATTTTGCTGAAGCTCAGGTGCAGTAACCAGAGTCCTGTTCTCGTCCTCCCTCAGCCCCTGGATCCTCAACAGCCTTTCAGTTTCTGGTCTGACCCATCTGTAGGCGGCTGGTTGTGTGACTAAAGCCAGACCCAACACTGAGCTCTACTCACATGCAACCCTGTCTGCTTCATCGGTCTGCTATAGTGACCGTATTCATGCCACCACTAATATTCCTCACAGCTTCATTTAGACAGAATGTGAGCCAGAACATCAGAATGAGACTGAAGAGGTCTATGTGCACACTTCCATCAGCACAAGACAAACCGTCCTGGCTCGTGATTCTGGATCAATAATGTCCCTTCACCTCAGCTTCTCTCAACACTTTCCACCCTCTGTAGCAGCAGAACATGACGGCAGCCTTCTCAGACTAAACCCACTGGAGACACGTCTACACTTTCAATGTGACTGCGTTCCACCAGATTTCATCCAACATGAACTAAATCTGGCTCATCTCTGGAGGAACCCAAACACTACTAGGTACTGCTGCTCTGTGATTGGCTCATACACTTAGCAGTGTTAGCTAATCCATTCAAACTATTCAGCTCCTGCATGCTTCAGCCAATCAAATGTGGCTCAAGTGCACAGACCACAGATCAGAGGTCCACAGCTCCACCACTGATGATGTAAACACACAAATACAAGTCACTGCTGGTCCCACACTAAGCTCAGCAACACTGACTTATGGGCCATTAGCTAATCGGTTCTCACTACCACCCACAATCCATCCAGCTTCTATCACATTCTGTCTTTATGCATCTTGGCCATGAGCGTCAGCAGTCAGCCGGCTCAGCCGGTGTAGTGGCCCGTTTCATGATGTTCCTGTAGTTCTCAGTCATCTTGATTCAAACAGATGCGAGCACACCCTGTTGTCTCGTCACCACAGAAAAGACAACCAGCACCAATCCGGTTTGTTCTCTCCACGGTGGTGGGGAACCAATAACAGCAAAGGCAGCTCCAGTATCATTTTCTACATCCCGACTTCATTAGCCAAACGTACATTTTAAAAACAGTTCATGTGTTCATCAGACATCAGTGTTCTGCAGTCATATCCCAGCAGGTCCACAGCAGGGAACACGTGGGTAAAGCAAACCACAGAGTTGCTGTCTGAGGCATTTCCAACGACACGGCCCTACAGCGAAAGGTCTGTCGGGATAGACCTCAGTGCTCCCTGCCTGACACCACTCAGCCAGGTACCTCTATACCAGGTCAATGCTCACCTCTGGAGTGGATCCTGACTGAGGCCCCGGGATCAGGAGGTCCCCCTTTGCTGCAGCTCCAACCTGCAGAACAACATGGGTTAAAGGGAGGATGTGTTCACCAGAAGCACATGCAGTTTACTAGAACACCATTTTCAACCAGTCAGAACCATTTGGGTCACAGTTGGTTCATTTAGGACAACGCTAGCACAGATTTACTTTGATATGAAAAACATGGATTGACTGCGTCGTTCTGACAGCGACTGGGTTAGAATCAGATCTTAGAGTCCATAAGAACACATGCTTTAATCTAGTGTGAAGGACAAGTGATGTGACTCACTGTCATAAAACGACACACGTTCAAACGTAGATGCTTCTAAGATGCTGTCTCAACACCCATACCAGGACTCCAGACACAGCGTCATGGAGACCAACGATGCCAGAGGCTGACTTCTTCTAGCACTGGCTTTTGAACAAACCAGCTGATGACCAGCTGGCTGCAGATACCACACAGTGCTGTTGGTGCATTCATCACAGAAGACAAACGGACTTACCGGAAGAATGACTTCACACAGCTCATGAGTCAGCCACGACCTAAAGACAGACGACAGCTTTAGGAAAAGTACCAGTAAATGATGACTGAGAACACCACAGCGGCTGTAAAATATGAAGACTTGTCATTCTTCCAGCTAAAAATGAGTATAATCCATCCCCTCACGGCCTGCTTCTGAGGCTGAACAGCTCCTCCCAGTGTTCCCTGCTAGAGCTGCTTCCACAGCAGGCTAGAGCTGCTTCCACAGCAGGCTAGAGCTGCTTCCACAGCAGGCTACAGGAGTTCACACAGCAGACTACAGTCCCAGCCCCTCAGGAACCAGTGCTAATCAATCCAGCCACCTGCTATGCCCACTTCACCCTGTAGAGGGCTGCAGGCATCTCAGCCACCTTCCCAACGAAGCTGCTCTCATTTACAGTCATCTCTTTGTTCCCACCAGACAGTATGTAAGCACGACAGGAAATGAGACATGTTAACCAGCGGTCACTTCCTGACCTTTACCAAGCTGCTGCTTGAACACAGCAGACACCAGAACGGTTCTGGTGTGGACGGCCAGCCCGGCTGCAGACACCAGAACGGT